GTTTCAGTGAAAATGTTAAAGTCTATAGCTGGAATTATAATTAAGCCACTAGTATATATGTATATATAATTTAAGTTTGAAAGAAGGTACATTTCCTAATACAATGTAATTTAAAACTAGCAGTTATATTAAACCACTTTTAAAGACTGAAGATACTTCTATAGTGTAAATAACTATAGGCCAATTTCCATKATAAACGATTTCGCTAAAATTTTAGAAAAAATAATAAAAAGTAGATTAATCAAGTTTTTAGAAAATAATAAACTATAACTATTGTCCAAAAACTAGTATGGTTTTAGACCAGGACAGGAAACAGAAAATGCCTTGWACAGTGCGAATAAATTCATATACAATACTCTCAATAATGGTAAAAAGATTACGGCGATTTTTCTTGATCTAGCGAAAGCGTTTGATACGGTAAATCATCATGAAATAATAAACATATTGCCGAATTTTGTTTTAAAAAGTAATAGTTTAGGAGCTATTTGAAAAACAGAAAATAAATAGTTAAAATTAATGACGTCATGGGTGAGGAGATGAGAATTAAATGTGGAATACCACAGGGTAGTTTGATGGGTCTATTATTGTTTATTACATACATTAATTAATTCTATATTATATGATATGAAAATTGATGGTCAAACGTGCCTACTGTTTTCAATTGTTAYGTGGGATTAAGTTCGCGTAAAAGCTATACAAGATTTTTTTAAAGTAATAAACTATTTAAATTACATAAAACTAACGATCGATTATAAAAAAAAAAAATTTAAAAATTTTTCAATTAATAAGAATGATAAAAGTTTTGATAACTTATAATTTAATATTTATGATAATTTGGACTCCTGTAATATTCCAATATATCAAAAAGTATATTGAGTTTGTAGAATTAGATACTTAAGTTATTAAATTTGATAAAAACATGAAATAAAACTTACATGTAAATAATATTGTGATTCGTATGCTTTTATTATCGTTTAGATTTTATAAACTACGGTCGTTTCTATCAATGCAAATTATGCGTATAATTTATTTAGCATTATTTCAGRCAATATTCCAATATTGGGTTTATTGTTTTAGGGGGACTGAATCAAAATGCGTCTAGACCACTACAACTTTTACAAAGAAAAATGTTTAAGTAAGAATACGTTAATTGGTTCGACTAAAGACAAATTTAAGTTATTTGATGTGTTACTTTTTGAGTCKGTATATAATAAAATAAGTATTGCATATATAATTAAAAAACTTTGAATCCTATCTGGATATGAAAAAGGTAATAGTTAAAAGAAAAAATAGGGCATTTGATGTAAGAATGAAA